TTTTATGTTTGTTAGATGAGAAACCTGGTTGGGTTGGTCTTTTGCTCGGCTTTGGCTATGTTTAGTGCTGGTTGGCTTCATACCAGAGAGACTGCAGACTTGGACTCAGGCGGGGGCTGGGTTGTTTGATGGTTTTGTAATTAGTTCTCGTCTGGACATGACTCAGAGATGGAAGGTGTGGGACCATAGACTTCGTTAGCTTGGGATTAGCAGTAAACTGGTTAGCGATATTCCTGCCCCGGTGGGGACTCGTCATATGTCAGTGTTGGTGCTACCAGTTTAAATAAAATTAGTTGACTTCTAAGTGAACTTGCCTCCTTCTTTCACTCCATGTCGGAATATGAAGGTTCAGTGTTGATCCAATCAGAGCCCTTGATTTCTATCTCACGATAGGCTTTAAGTTTTTAACTGTGATCTCCTTTCACAGGCATCATTATTATACCTCCTCCTATGTTTGCTGAAAGTTCTTTCTTCCATTTACTTATTCTTTCAGTTGTTCGTCTATGTCACCTCCTCACTGTCACAGTAGCTAAGTGAGCCTCCGCCCTATCTGCCATGTCCACATTACATTCGTTGGTGGTTCTCTCTCATATGTTTGAGAAGAACCTCGCCCTTGAGGCCAAAGTCCTTTACCTTCGGCATCACATCTCTGTTCTCTCTCAGCGACTTCATCGCAGTGTGAAGGAAACATCTACCTTGTCAGCTACCCTGGCCTCTGAGACTGTTACTGTTTGTAGTTTGGTCAGAATTTTCACCGCTGAAGCTCTTACAATTATCCCCTCCTCGCCTGTCCTCTTGGATACTTTTGTTATTATACTGGTCTTGGTTGGGAGGGTGTGGGCTAGAATCTGAGAATTCTCTGGGTCTAGTGAATGAGCTCCCTCCATGGAATATTGTATCGGCGGTTATCCCACCCCCTCCTGCTACTTCGGTTATAAGTGGCGGCATGGGTGGACTGGTTCCTGATTCGTCAGGTCCGGTTGAGGTGCCGGCTCCTGGTGTAAGTAGGGTGGGTTCTGATGTAATAGCACCAGCTGCAGTAGTATTACTACCTTCAGAAAGGTAGGTGCCTGAGTCCTCTGTGGCTGAGCCCATGGCTGGTCAGGGTAATATTTCCGGTGGCGTCTCACCTGTGGGGGTGGGTGGTGATGAGGATGGCATGTCTACCCCTGTTACTACACCTGTACCTAAGTATAGTAAGAGGAAGAAGAACAAGAAACGCTGTATCAAGAAAGACCAGACCTTACCTGTGCCACTTGTTACCAACTCTGAAGAGTCATCACCTTCACCGGTTCACCACGAGTGGAGGATGCTGAGAAGGTTAAGGAGGACTTAAATTCTTAGATGTGTTTGGCCTAGTATCAATGGCTCAGTGACTATGTTATCCTGGCTGCTTCCCGGGAGGTTTTCAGGTCATGCTGCTACAGTGGTGCCCTCTAGATTCTGTATGACTGTTTGCACCCCCCTCAGCTTGGGAGCTCTTTTCCTGTAAGTTGGCTTTCGCTCAGGCCTACCCACTTGGATGTTAATTGTTTCTTTTGTTTAGGAATGAGGGTGGGTGTCGGAACCGTAAGTGAGATGTCCTGGGATCATTGAGTGGGAGGATTTAGGCAGGTTTCTATTGTGGAGGAGGTTATCACGGTGTTACATTCAGGTGACGGTAGTGGATTTTGTATATTTTGTACAGGTAACTTGGCTGATGGGTAAGCTAGACTGAGGAGGACCTTTCTTTACCGTCAATGGCTTTGTATTTAGCATTCGTGTTGGGGCATGATGCGGACATATTTGAGGTACCAGGTTGGAGGTTTAGTTAGTTCGTGATTAGTGGTATCCCGGATGTGACAACCTGGTAGCCTGGCCTTGGAGCGCATCGTATGCCAGTGTTGGCTGTACGAGTTTAAATAAAATTAGCTTGAATTGTAAATACATTTCCTCCTTCTTGCACCACATGTCGGAATGTGAAGGTTCAGTGTCAATCCAATCAGAGCCCTTGATTTCTATCTCACAATACGCTTCAAGTCTTTAACTTTGATCACCTTTCAGCTGCATCATTGTTATACCTCCTCCTATGTTTGCTGGAAGTTCTTTCTACTGTTTACTTATCCTTTCATTTGTTCATCTACATTGCCTCCTCACTGTCGTAATGGGTAAACAAGCATCCACCCCCTCCACCCTGTTTGCTATACATTCATCAGTGGTTCTGTCGCATGCTATCAAGAAGAACCTTACCCTGGTGGCCAAAGTCTCTTGTCTTTGGCGTCATATCTCTGTTCTTTTCCAGCGATTTCATCACACTGAGAAAGAGATTACTTCCTTATTGGCTGCCCTAGCCTCTGAACACTATACTATTTGTAGTCTGGTCACTATTTTGGCAGCTGAAGCTCCTACTATTATCCCCTCATCGCCTGTCTTCTTGGTCTTCTCTGTTACTACAGTGGTCTCAGTTGGGAAGGTGGGCTGGACTCTGAGAATTCTCAGGGTCCAGTGGAGCAGCTCCCTCAGGGGAATATTACACCGCCAGTTATCCCGGCCCCTCCTGCAGCTTCAGTTGAAGGTGGTGGTATGGGTAGACTGGTTCCTGATTCATTGGGTCTGGTTGAGGTACTTGCTGCTCATGTAGGTGGGATAGATCTTGGTGTGGTGACACTAGCTACGCTGGTATCACTCCCTCAGAGAGGACAGGGCCCTAAGTCCTCTGGGGCTGAGCTCATGGCTAGTCAGGATAACACCTCCAGTAGCATCCCCCCAGTGGTAGTGGGAGGTGATGAGGGTGGCCCATCCACCCTTATTACTAGTCTTGTACCTGGGGGTAGGAAGAGGAAGAGAAATAAGAAGCACAGGATCAAGCAAGACCAGACCTCACCTGTGCCACTTCTCCCCGGCTCGGAAGGGTCATCGCCTTCGCCAGTTCGCTATCGCCAACCTGCTGCTACAGCGTCTGCAGCAACCTTGCCCCCTGCAGCGAGAGTTTAGAAGTTGGAGGAGGACTTAAATTCCTCCCTGTATTTGGCCAGATGTCGATGGCTCAGGACTACCTTATCCTGGCTGCTTTCCCTGAGGTTTTCAGATTGCACTACTACTGTAGTACTCCCCGAATTCTCTATGATGGTTTGTACCCCTTGGTTAGGGAGTCCTTGGCCTCTAAGTCGGCTTTCCCTTGGGTCTACGTGCTTGGATTTTGGCTGTTTTTTTAGTTTAGGGAAGGGGATGAGTGCTGGAGTGGTTGGCGGGGTATTCTGAGATCATTCAGTGGGGGCACTTGGGTGAGTTTCTATTGTGGAGGAGGTTATCGCGTAATCATATTCAGGTAGCAGTAGTGGATTTTTGTATTTTGCGCAGGTAACTTGACTGGCGGGTAGGTTGTGCTGAGGAGGACTTTTCTTTACTCTTGATGGCTTTGTATTTAGTGTTCCTGTTGGGGCATGGCGCAGGCATGTTTGAGGTATGGGGTTGGAGGTTTAGTTATTTTGTAGTTAGTGGCATCTAGGATGCGATAATCTAGGGGCCGCCTGTGAGACTTGTCATATGCCAGTGTTGGCAGTATGAGTTTAAATAAAATTAGATTGAATTCTAAGTACTTTTCCTACTTATCACTTTAACCAATAAAAACACCTTTATGCTCTTTATCATTAGCATAACCTCTATTGCGATTACAACAAGAATGCTCTTCACAAAGAAGAGTTAGAGAAAGCTTACAATAGGGGTTTTCAATACAAGACAGAAATCTTGTATTATTGATAATGTAAGGATAAGCCTAGTGCTATTGTAAGGCAAATAAGAAGAAAGAAAGAACAGAAATATTGTTCCCCATCGCCAAGAACTAACTATCCAAAGGGCAATCTTTACAACATATATCTACAATGTTTTTTCTTTTCTTGCCTTCATATTTCTTGCTACTTGTCTCCTGTTTGAACTTCAGTGGGAGGATTATACTGGACTTGTATTGGGTTAAGTACTCTTCCCCTAACTCAAACGCTTTTTTCTCTTATTCAAGGTTTTGGCTTTGGGCAAGAGTTTAAGGAAGCTACCCAGTATTGTTATTTGATTTTGATTTTTTTATTTTAGAGAAGTTTTTGCCTTTTATTCCCTTATTGTACATGGAAGGAGTAGGAGTGTTGAAGCAACCTTCCATATCCGCTAAGATGATCACAGGAAGTATATAAGGCCACGGTGTGGTGGTGGCGCAGTAGCAGTGATGCAGCCGTGAGTGAGGCTGCATGAGGCTACAAACTGTGACTGGAGTTTTCTTGTATACTTAGTCGGGCACATGCCCACCTCTCTTTCTTCAATCAACCGTCAGTCGTTTCAACAATGCATAGAGCAACATCGACGAGTGATCGTGCATGATGTATGCTCTGTGACCTGGATGTGCCGCAATACTGGCTGGGCAAGGAGGTTATCTTCAGTGACTCCTCTTCTTTTTCCTTTTGCTCGGTTTTGGCCGTTGCACTGGACCACCTTGAGTACGAAACGCTATTTTGGCTGGGTGGGGAGGTGGCGCTAACGAGAATGGATTTCCGCGATCGAGTGATGTTAGGATGGTCTGCTTCGAAGCCGGGTTACTCATTGCTTTCCACCCGGAGAGCCACCTTGAGATAGCCTTACCATCGCTTGTACTAGTACATTACCAGTCTCTCCTAGTTCAAGTATGCCAGGACCTCCGGGCGCTTGGGTGGGCAAGCTTGGGAGTCCCGGGCCGATGGCACCGGTTAGCCGTCAGCGCCCGCCGTAGTAGCGCCACGTGAAGGATGGTGGGGTTTATGAAAGAAACACCTACCTGTATCTATCAGCGAATCTCTTTCTACTCCTATGATACTACTCGTAGACGATATTTAAATCTGGTATGATATCATAATAGTAAGGCAAGCAATCCCTCACCAGAGCCGGGTAACTGCGATCTCAAGCAACATCAAGTTACCCTCCTTCCGCAAACAGCCCCAAACTCCTTCGGTGCACAAAGTTCCCCCTCCAAACAAATACCGCCCAAATACAATCAGAACATGTCCACCACCTCCCCCCCACCCTCCCCACCCTGCTCTCACCCCTCACCCTCGACCTCGACCAGTTCCTCGAACGAAGACCAACTCCCAACACCCCGCGCATCCACACGCCCAACCGCAATCACCCTAACAGAAGACTACTTCGCGCCCCCGCTTCCCCCGCGCCCATCTCTCGAGGTAATCGCCTCCAGCACCCTCCTCTCAATCCAATCCACCACCTCCAGCGGGGCTAGCACTCCGGGCCTCCAAGCGAAACCTACCACTGCGATCTCGCTTCCGGAGGGAGTACACGCGCAGCAACAGGATGCAGTGGTTAGTGGGAACGGTAGCATTACGGGGGCACCATCGTTTAGCGACTCAGTTAGCGTGAAGAGTTTGGTGCCGACGTTGAGTGCTGGGGACAATGATGTCGAGAGTATGCTGGGAGAGATATTGGACGAAGAGGGGGAGGGGGGGGGTTTTTTGAAGGCGAGGAGGGATATTATGAATATTGGGGGTGGCGGTGCAGGCATTGAGGAAGTGGAGTTTGAGGATGAGGGGTGGGATGAGAGTAGTGATGAGGAGGGGTTGGGGGAAGGTTGGTTGATTCATTTTACGGATCGAGGTGGCCGGATTATTTCGGGAATTGAGCTGACTTTGGGAAGAGGAGTTGGTGGCTAAGTGGAGGGCTAAGCGGAAGCACTTTTTCATCTTGTCTAGTGCTGGTAAACCGATTTACAGTCGACATGGAGACGAGTCGGTGCTATCGGGGTATATGGGGGTTATCCAGGCAATCATCTCGTTCTTTCAAGATGACAATGATACACTCAAGAGTTTTAGTGCTGGGAGACATAGGTTTGCAATTGCTGCGTCGGGGCCTTTGTACCTCGTTGCAATATCTTCAATGGGGGAGTCGGACTCTCAGGTATGCTCGCTCAAATGCTCGAATTGGGGTGTTTGCGGCTGATAAAAGCCAGCTGCGCGCTCAACTCGACGCTCTATACACACAAGTCCTCTCAACCCTCACCCTTTCCCAGCTAAACAAGATCTTCGCTCAACGTGGGAACTTTGACCTCCGCCGTCTTCTTGGTGGCACCGAAGTGTTTCTCGATGGACTCAGCGACGCGATGACACTCGGATCCCCGCAGGTCCTCCTATCAGCCCTAGAATGCGTTAAAATGCGAAAATCACATCGGGAGAAAATAAATTCCATCCTTCTCAAACACCGTTCTCCGAATCTCCTATACGGTCTCGTCATCGCGGATGGTAGGATGGTCTCGGTGTTACGGCCAAAGCGGCATTCGCTACATCCCCCGGACTTGCAGTTGCTTTTTTCAATGCTATTCAATGCCACTACCTTCCGTGACGGTGGCGAGCACTGGACACCGATTTGTTTGCCAAAGTTCAATAGCAAGGGGTTTTTGCACGCCTATATACATTTTTTCAGGAAGGAAGTGGCGGTGGTGCTCATTAGTGCTGACAAAGATGCGTTCTTTGAGATGAGGGTGATGAAGGAGGTTATTGTTGAGGTATATATACAACCCCCCTCCGTTACCACTGGTCCGAGTTCTAACGCCGCCAACAGCAGCTCGAAAAAGCCGGTAGTATAAAGATTATCGAAGAAGCCGTTGGCAATGGGCGCTACACAACCACCGACGTCCTCTCTTCGGAAACAGCTATCCGGCACTTCCTCTACAGATCCAAGAATAACGTCCAATTCACTATGCCTTCTTTCGAACCACATTTTTATAGCGCCATCGCTCGGCGCAGGCTAATGAACCTCTACCAACGCCTTCACGCCGCAGTCCATGCCAAAAACGCACTCTTGAAGGTTCACCACTGCATACGTAATTCCTCGGTGTCGCTGTCGTGGGTTACGCCGACGTTTGAATTGTACTGCGTTGCGGTGGCTGGCGCGAATCGTGCTGCTTTGGCGAAGAGCGCTACTGCGATTGCGGCTTGGGTTAAGAGGGAAGAGGAGAGGTTGTTTATTGGCGGGGTGGTAGGTTCTCCCCTTGTCCATCTTTTATTATTAACGGGGGGAAGTGGAGGCTGAACTTTGTGCAGATATTTTAATTTTGCTACCTTAGTTTTTTTCTTTTTTCTTTTCTTTTCTTCTCGCCTTATCCTCCTTCATTCCATTTCACTCCCTTCACTTGAGAGCGAGGGATCGTTTATCTGCGTTAGAGGGGTTTCATCATTGTGGAGTTTTGTTGGGTAGATCGCCAGTCTCGTTAGTGAGCCACTGCAGTGTCCGGTAGCAAATACCGGTGCGGTACGGTATTAAGTTATATCATAATATCTATCATATCGCCCGGGTATTCTGAGTAAGTTTGCGGGGAGTGGGTGCCTGGGAAATGGGTGGATAGGGGGGTGAAGCCGGATAACCGTAATTGTGTTACCGGTAGGGATCTTGATGTCAAGTTTTGAGCTGAAGCCTACGTACCGGTACGTTGTGCTTGTATATTCTGGGTGGGATGTTTATAAGCGCTACTGGTATCTGCAAGCGCAGTACCGGTATGGTAATCGTAGATGTACCGGTACTCGTATAAGCAATACCGGTATAGGCGAACTGCTACGAGTATATCTTGGGCGCTATGAGCATTGTGGATGACTGGATGGAAACCTTTGCGAGTGGGTGGAGAGGCGCTCGTATTGATACCATATATCAGATAGATGCTGTTGGTGACTGGATTATAGAGCAAAGCCGGAAAACAAAAGGGAATGTCGGAATCGGAGTGGTGGCTCCAGGGGACCGTCCGACATCATGAGCGCAATGGAAAACGCTGGCCAGAGCAAGCTGAAAGCTATCTAGTGCTCAACAACCGCTGTTAAATTGAGATGCCCCTCCATGGCACCTCTCCAAATGGATAACAACTGATGGTGGGGTATCATACCGTATTCGAGTACTGTACTCGAGTACCGATAGGCTGCGATAACCCATAGCATTACCCTCGAGACACAATGTAATGCAGGGTATTTGTTACTCAGACGCGCATGCCGGTAATAGCTATTTTTTAATTGGCTACTACCGGTAACAAGGCTTCGCCTCAACCCGAGTGAGGCCCTATGCTCAAGGCCACCATCGTTCCCGAGTGAGGCAAACGCGGGGCATCTTGACGCCTAGGATGACTGCCGCAGATTGAGATCTCCACATATGACCTGTGATGCTATACGGTGCTCGAGTATTTAAAATCCTGCCCTGACAACCGGGCGGAAAACAAGCAGATGGAGAGGAAGGGTAAAAAAAAAATCTGGTATCATAAGAGAAAAGCAAAGTGCAACTCGTTTGGCCGGATATGAGGATCCATCGTTCATGGTAACTTATCGGTAAATTGTTTTAATTCCACTATCACAGATATAGTACTAGTACCAATACAAGTACTGTTGTCTCAGGACACGCCTGGTTAGCGAGACCAACCACCAGCCACCCACCCCCACCATCGCGGCTCAACACCGCCGACCCTGATCACCAACCAAAAGAAACTATACGCAGAGCATTGAAACGTTTGAAAAATGGTTCAAATCAAGGATCTCCCCGTCGAGATACTTACCCAGATCATCAAAGGAGTAGGTACCCCGCTAGTCTTCCCCTCCCATCAACAATGCGACTGCCAAATTTACGATTCATAGCTCCCCCAAGTACCCAGCCGTCTGGCTGCTCTCTGCACGGTGTGCAAGGCCTTCCGGCTCATCGCAACGCCGCTGCTTTACTCCGATGTGGTGATCCGTACGACACCTATTCGCGGCCATACTCTTGACCCAGTCATGTTGAGCTGCTTCCTATACGAGCACAATTCCGGCATCGAGCATATCCGCCGGATTACCGTGCGTGGGCACTGGGATGGTGGGCACTGGGATAATGGGCATCCGGCCGAGACGGAACCAATACACCGTGCTGGTATCAAGAATGATCTCTTCTCTCCTGCGGTGTTGAATACCTGTTTGTTGTTGGGGATTTTGCTGGAGAGGGTACCGAGGGGAGCGCTGGAGCATTTTATGTATGTTTTCCTTTTGTTTTGACCGGTGGTGGGATAACGCTCGGGGATGGATGGGGGAATGGCTCCGGGTTGACGGTTTTAGATGGGACGTCGACGTTTCCTTCTCCTGGAGAGTTATGGAGAAACTCATGAAGTACCAACCGAACATTCAGTCTCTAGACCTGTACGACGGAAACTTCACTTTTGACCGCCAGTGGTCCGAGTCCACCTTCCGCTTTGCCAACCTAAAGCATCTCTGCTGGCAGAACTTTGCGCGATACGACAGCATGATGTCGTTTGGGCGCTTGATAGACCTAAATTGGCAGTCCATTACTACGCTGACCTTCTCACTAAATAACTTTGACGAGTTAGTAGAGGACATGATCCGCCACGACGGTGCCTCAATATTCAACGACGGGGGCAGCACTGAGGAGTCACCAACATTCCTACCGATCGCCAAAAGAATCTTTAGAAAGCTCTTGGAGAGACCCGAAGGTGAAGGAGCTAGTACCGGGAGTCTGGTGCCGGGACGAAAGCGCCAGATGAAATTGAAAGATTTGGCGCTCTGGGACATCCCATTGGCGGATATGGCACCCTTACTCACGCAGATAATCGACGTCCCGGCGTTGACGTACCTAACCATGCGCGGCTGCACGTCCACGGACCAGTTGCTGAACGCGCTGGCGGTGAGGGGGGGCTCACTGAGTATCAGGACATTTGATATACAATACAAGACCCAGCCGGAGGGACTGGTGCAGTTCATTCAGTCCTTCAAGGGATTGAGGAACCTATATCTGCTACTAGAATGCATTGAGAACACGGAAGAGCTACAAAACGTTTTTGATAGCGTTTTCCATCATGCAGAGTCCTTGCGGAGATTGGTGGTAGACGCGAAGGAGCATTACCTCTCTGCCTCAAACCTTGCGCGAATACGCTCGGATTTGAAACTTCGGGAGTTGGGCCTTTGCGGGGAAGCCGTTGATCCGGATTGGGTATTCCCCTCCTCTCCACCTTCCTCTGCTGAACTAACAACGAACAGGCAATAGCCCCCCTCTACTCCCTCGCTGGCCCAGCCCCCGAAACCCTGGAGACCATCCACCTTCGCACCGTGCGCCGCAACCTCTACGAAGCGCCCCACGACTCCCTCGCGCACGATACAGCAACCTTTCTCAAGTCAAAGAGCTATCGCGACCGTAAGGCTGATGCCGAGGCCCTGATCGGCCTGCACTCGCCCAACATGGTCGCACGGAATAAGTCGCTGCGCTGCGTCAGCATCGGCGAATTCAACCGCTGGAACGACTTTCACATGAACGGCGCAAGCAAGCTGTGGACGTGCTTCATTGTGAATTACGTCGATGTGGAGTTTGTGCACGACGTGCCAGTATTAACCCCGGTTAGGATGAATACGTTGTATTATTTGGGGCTGACGAGTGAGGTTCTTTATGTCTAAGGGGGAGAGGGGGCCGTGGCTGAGATCCCTGGGTGTGCTTGTTTGCTGTCTGACATGGAGTGTAGGGAGGGGTGTTTGTTGTATAACGGTCATGGAGTATCACTCGCTGCTCTTTAAATTCACGAGATATTAAGTTATATTTTAGGTTTCTGGGGAGTGGGGGCCTCGCAAATAGGTGATTGCATAAGTCATGAGGGAAATCGGAATATTAGCCCCGAGTGGTCTCAGCGTCCGAGATAAGGAACACTGGTCAAACCTTAAATATTCTTTATCTCGCCGCGACGATCTCTTCTCAAGAGTGTCTGTGTTTGGCTGAATCATGCTTCCATTGCTCCCATTCTCGCACCCGAAGTACGCCTCGTAGTTCGCGCCCGTGCGAGTACTGGTATATACATAAAAATGTGATTCCAAGCCGATTCCAAAGTGGAAGGGGTAGGGGGAGAGCAATCGCATAATTTCCTCCCCATGCCATGCCGGCTCTATCTTTCCCTCTCCGCGAAAGTAGTAGGCACAAACGGACCGCAAACCGAGTGTAGCAAAGCCACTCGATGTACGAAACGCTTGTGCGGTCTTGAGCACCCGCTCTCAAATAATCTGATCGCGATCATTCCCGCCAGGGAGAGCAGTATGGCGCAGGCGGTAGCGACGGAATCCGAAGAGAATGGGCCATATAGCACTTTCTCTTCTTCCTCTTTCCTCCGCTGGGCGTTTGTGTCGCAAAGGCTCGCGACGCCTCGTAAGGTATTGATAGATCTTTGCTGCGTCGGTGGTGAGTGCTGACATATGTTTCTCTCTCTTTGTCCCTTTCCCCTCCTTTACGGTTGTCGCCTTCTCCATCCTTTGGTGCTACTGCTTTATGCATCGTATTTCATATCGTGCATATATTCGGTATAGAATTGGCCCCGGGGATTCTGGGAGGCGCCTGTCACAGGTAATAGCTCACGTTTTCCAATTTCACATATCTGTTCGGGTTACCTGAGCGCCGGTCGGTAGATGGCACGATATCCTTCGGTTCGCCTTCATTCTTTTTGTCGGTTTCCTACTCACTCGCCTCTTTCTCACCCCCGGGTGAGTGCTCGTGGTTAGCTGTGATACTTTTTTTTTTTTTTTTTGCTGCGTTTGTGTGGTTTCCTGTGCAGCGTATTCGTACAACCAGAGCTTACACGGCGAGCAGATTTATTCTATTCACCTGTTTTTTTCACAAAGCGAGGAGGGGAGAGTGTGCCAGTTTCCCGAATAGTGGTGAAAAACTCCGGTCTGGATGGTGGGTTACCAGGAGGAGCAGTGTGCTCTGATGTGACGGGGTATGGTAGGGGAGGGAAAAGTGATTTTGGGAGAGAAGCGGTGCGTATACTGAAAAGTGGATCGAGTGATGGCGCGTGAGTGTCGGCATGGACCAGATGGATGGCTAGTGGTCTCAGTGGTGATAATATTGTGCGAGCGGGGCGGTAAGTATTCTGTTTAGACCAGGGAAGGTCCCTTAAACGAGTATATGCTGGTCGTCCGACGGTGGGAGTGTGTGGAAACTATTTAAAGAGGGGAAATTGCAGTTTAAGCAAGTGGTTCTCTTAGCCACCTCCGGGCCGCAAATTTATGATTCTTGGGGATTTTTAAAAGTCCGTACGTTCACAATGTGTTCGGTTCACCTATTTGTGCACCCTCACAGAGTGCCTTGCTTTTTGGAGATTATAGCTTCTAGCTGTGCATAGCTTTTTGTAGACACGGTTAATTTCCTACTTCTTCCTTCCTTCAGTATATCATACCCTGGTGTCAAACCCTCGCTTTCGACAGGCCAGTTTCCACCCTCGAACTATGTGATATTGGAATTGACTGCGTGCAAGCAGGAGGGTAGTGACGCACTCACCATCTCGAGAGGGGCAGCA